GTCTTCTCCTGTGGTTGGTTTCTATCAGCGTTGTGTGGTTTTGGGAGGAGAGGGGTCTTCTCCTGTGGTTGGTTTCTATTGGTGGTGTGTGGTTATGGGAGGGGGTCAACGTTGGTGGCATCCGTTTGAAGATGGAAAATGCTGGGTTATTTTTGGATGATTATCATGAGGCTTGGTCGATATAGGTAGAGGCGGACTTTTTCTAGAACGTGGACATATGGTATTAATCAAAGGATGCAAAGCAGTAATTTTAGTACAGAGTTATGTCTGGCGTATGATCCTGCAGGTTGATGTCATTGCTGGTGTTTGTAACCTACAGATTGTAAATGTCTCTAAGGGGCCATTTGAAAAATGGACATGCACCATTTTCTGCAATGCAGCACAGTGCATCACAACGCTCAGTAGTGCATTATAATGCATTGCGGTGTGCTGTAACGCAAATGCATTGGTGTGCTATTCATATTCACATGCGCATTAAAATACCACACTCTTGTGAATGGGTGATAAGTTGGTGGAATGGGCTCTAAAGGTGTTGACTTGAATTTGTTCCCTACAGGTGGTAGTGAAAATAAAACATGCTTATTATACTTTTGTAATGTTCAATAGGCACCAGGAAGTGGTCTGAAATAAGGTCGATGTCAAGTAGGTATCTTTTATGGCGTGAAAGGATGAGAGCACCTAGAAAATCAGTTCAGATATGAATTTGTATTTGTCACTATACAAAATAATGTCTTGACTTATCGCCATGGCCTGGTGCTCTCATCCTTTCACTCCATACAAGCTGTCTCTCCCAATGACCCCAAATTAGAGACCCAGCAATGGGCAGCCTCCACCAGTTCAGCAGTAATTTTCCTTGAGAACTTGCAACCCTTCTTGTCATTGAGATTGCTTTCACACAGCTCAGTACACGTTTGTGAACAGTGGTATCTCTTGTGCTGTTGGCATCACCCAAGGTGCAATGGTTTTGTGTTTCTGTCGGTAGATCTGCAGGAAGAGGCATCAACACAATGGAGCCTATTCACCAAGGGGAGAGTGACAGGTGTTGGGAAAGACGATCGTACTTAATCGTACATTTTTCTACATGCAGTCACTGACGGTTGAGAACCGATGTCTGGGGCCCGTTCTAGGCTCTTTGTGCTGGAGATAATGGTATTTAAATCACTCTGAAACCTCTTCAGCCAATAGACTCTACAAAAGAGCAGACATCTTATATCACAGCTGATTGGAACGATAGTCTGTGTCCTGCTGATCCAGTTCCTGATTATAAAGGAAGTGAATGAAGATGACTGGAATCTACAGATACACAATATTCTCTTCTGTGTGAATGTGTGCAATTTTCTGCCATGTAATCCATGCAGGTAGAGTGTCCATACAAGGGGCGGAATTATTGTCTAAAGTGCAACTCCAGCCAAAGCTTTTTTGTTTTACTTTCCAACAGGGTCTATATGTGTTATAACCTTTGACAGGTTTTATTTGCTGTATATGTCTACCTGGTGGAGCTTTCTCCTCACTTCTTGTCTCAGTGACTATACAGGGTGTGGGGTAAATATCCCCATAGGGGACAGAGATAACAGTAAAAACCTTACACAGGTTCTAAACTTTAACTTCTTTGTACAAAACTAAATTAAAAAAATGGGCAGGAGTCTTACTTTAAGGGGTTGATTTATAAAAGCTTTGCCTGGCATTCAGCACTAGTATCGGTATCGGTGCATCCCTAATCAAAATCACTTTCCAGAGATTTCCTCTTATTTCCTGTTACTTCTCCAAGATAAAAAAAAATGAAGCCAATCTCTTTAGTGGGACAGTGACAGCAAAAAACTTCATAGGGATTTTACCCCTCTCTACTCTAAAATGGAATGGTTTAAATATGGCAGCTGGTCTCTTTTGCTCCTGCAGGCCCCTGCCAGCACTAGGTCTGGATTTGTCGTCTGTCTCTGATTGCAGACAGCAATAGATCACTATTAGAAGTAATTTGCTGCTGCAGAAATGCACTGGGGACCTAAATCAGGTCTCCACTGACAATATTGTGATCCCCCATTAAAGAAAAAGTGAAAAATAAATGTAAAAAATGAATCCCCAGAATAATTTGCAGGTTGCAAAAATGATGTTGGATTATCTGGATGACATTTGCATTCACTGTGTAAGAATTGAATGCCCATGCACGTGAACACAATGGCATTTGAAGTTCTAGTGATCACAAACCTGTACAAAAGTCGCCATCTTGCAAATTTGTGCACTCATCAACCTGACTTAATCTTATCTTAATATTATACTAACAATTTATGCAAATCATTTTTTTCCCTACATGCAGTGCAATGTATCTTTCAAAGGGAAATAAGGCTCTCCTAAGGAAAACGTATACATTCACTTTGAGCTTTACCATTCCTCTATGTTGCATAATTGTCCCACTAATTTGATATCCGTGATCTAGAGATATAAGCAGACTTGATTAATTATATTTTGGGGTAAATGGTGCATTGGGAAAAAAGACAGTTTTAAGTGTTTTACAATTTATACCCAGTAAAACCAAGGGAAAAAAAACTATGTGTATCCACATTTCCTACCAAATTAAAGTCCTATCTGCCCTGAAAAAAATTACCGTATAATATGTTAGGGGAGACCACAAAACCTAAAAGATATAACGGGTGGACCCGAAACATCGCTGAAATAAAAATTTAAAAAATAAAACGCTCTGGAACTCAAGGGGATTTAGGGAGAAAAAAAGCATGGGACTCAGTCCTATTGCTGTAGAGATATTGACTGCTGCCTGGTGCAATAGTTTCATCTCTCTTTTTTTTTTCACAGGTAAAGTTTTATTGTTTTTTTAGACACATAACAAAAAACAAGTGACACACGAAAATTAAAATCATTAAATCACAAATTACAGACAGTCAATACAAAAAAGTAACAGATCATAATAAAAACAGAAAAGCAAAATAAAGCGTGGATCTTAGGTACCATAGATAAAAAGATACAGTTGGACCCACTGATGGGCCAATCTAGGATACATATCCCCAGGGGGAGGGAGAAGGGAGGGGGTCTGCCTCACGATCAAGGAGAGAGAAGGAGACATGTCCCTTCATCTCGTCATAGGTAGTTTGATCTCTCTTAATAAGGAGGGAAACTTTTTTTTTTATTAAAAACAAAAACAACTCTTGAAGACATCCCATCTTTCATGAACACCGAAATTAGCTTTATTGTAAAGAATTGTTTTGTCTCTAAATCTGTGTCTACCCCTGACTCCAAACATCCATTTAGTCACAGGCTTCAACATTTCTACATTATCTGACCCAGGAAAGGTTTATTTATTTAGGACAACATATTCCTGCACTCTGAAGAAAAGCTTAGTGCAGCTGTCAGTCATGCTGGGATTCCAGCTTTTGAACTGGGCATACTCATATCATCTGTATTGTTCTCATATATTTACTTGGCTTGAAAGATGGAGTCTTAGGGTGTTGAAATGTGAGGTTTACTTTACCCACGTGACAGTCCGCCCTAGCATATCTCAATGTCACCTCAAAACACAACTAGAGTTCAAACGCCTTGGGTGATGCACTATTAAAATATTTGCAAGCAATTCCATTGGTTTTAAATATCGTTTGTCACGACCGGGCTATGTATGAGATGCTTCTTGAGAGATAACGAGGTCTCACTAACATCACAATTGCACATCATTGCTTTTCAAAATTGTGTTAAAAACTCAGAACGAACGATCAACAGTCATTCCCTTATATAGTGAAAATTTAAATATGAATGTGTTTTTGAGGCAGCAAAGCAAAATGTCTGGAGAAAAAAGAAAGCGGGAGATAAAGAGAGAGAGCAAGCATGAGAAATCCACTTGAGTGATGAAATGTTTTCAACTGTAGGCTCTATTCACACTTAAAGTGACACTAAACTCCGTTAAATCCTGAAAATGCATTCAAGTACCTTAACAATTAACAAAAATTAGGGCTGTGGAAATTAAAGATTAATTTCTCGATTAATCGTTAAACTTTTTGATAGCGCCCTTCGTTAGCCGACGGAGCCACTTGGGCCGGTGAGTTTGCCCAAGAAACTTTCTGCACGAGCGCCAGCCAAGGCATTGGCCTATACACATACAGCACAGCAATGAAGTAAACTACTGGCTACTTTTGTTCTTCATGGTCACTATGTGTGTTGTAAAGTAGTCACCGCTCCAAGCTCGCTCCCGCGATGGGCTACAATCTCATGTTTACTTTACTAATTTGTATTGAGATTGTAGCCCATCACGCAAGTGAGCTTGGAGCGGTGACTACTTTACAACACACACAGGGACCATAGCCACCCTCTAAAAGTAGGACAGTGTCAGCACCAATTCAGAGATGATTTGAGGATCTGCAGCCGAGATAAGGTACTTGAATTCATTTTTAAGATTCCTGAGTTTAGCGTCACTCCAAACATGAGCGTGACCATGTGATTTAGAGGCATTTTTTGACCGTTTTTGTGCCACTTGTAGTGCAAGATCAGAAATCTGCGTTTTGACCCCATAGACTTCTAAATCGGAGTGCCTAAAAATGTGTGTAGACACACATTTTTCAATAATTTTTCAGGTGCACCTATTAAAGCCAAAGTGCACAATTCTTCTCAAAAAAAGAACACTGGGCTCTTTTGGGGTAGAACCTGGTGTACATTTTGCGCTTCATGTGACTGGCGACAGGATGCTCAGCTGTGAACAAATGTTGCACTTCTATCTGTGATATGTCTATTCAAAGATGTCAAAAGAGGTGTTTCAATTATGAAGATGGCGGTGTGCTGGTGTCTCTCTTTCTCATCTTTGTTAGCAAACATTCTACACAAAAAAAATTTCCATTCAAACTGAAAAAAAATTACAAAAAAACTACTTCCTCAGGGATTAGTAAGATCTACAAAAGGTTTTATAGCATCTCTGGTGACACCTATTCAGAGCCATGGTCTTTGGAATGAATTGCAGTTGTACAACCTACGTGAATGTCAAAATTAAGAAAAGCAACATTTCTTTTCAGGTTATATTTCCAGAATGCTGAGGAATTATACGCTGCGTGCCTGTGACGGAGAATATGTATCCCTCAAATGTCCTCACAAAACCACCATCAGCATCCAGTCTTCATTCTACGGGAGGAATATGCCCAGCCATCAGATATGTCCATCACGTCACGCACAGTCATTCGCTACCTTCATCAAAGAGGATGTATCCTGCTCTGCTGGGACGTCTCTCCAGGTACAACGTCTGCCATGTTGTGAAAGAATTTCATGTTACCTTCTTTTCACAGTCCGATGACCTGTTTATTCTAGATGCCAGTTTACATTGTTCTGCATTTTCTCTGAAGGGTTCAATGACCCCATTGGGGATATATCCCCTTATCTCCTGTTAGGTTAGGAAGTTTGGGAAAACTTTTCAGTTGTACTGCAACAGAACACTTTCTTTTTTAGTAACATGGGGAAGCGTTAGCCAAATTTTTAATATTGCCCAATGATAAAAACATTATTATTGCACCTGTCTTTGATTCCCAGTGGCAACTGCTCCATCCATTTCATGTCATGCCATCAAAGGGACAGAAGAATAGAGGTGAAATCTCCTTAATAGGGCCACGGACAACAATAAACACCTAAATGTAGGTCTAACCTTCCCCTGTATATCTAAAACTGGAAATGTTGGCCTTTAAAGAAGATCTTTTGAAAAATACTGCTCATCTACAAGCTTCCTGCAACCTGTACTAACTTGGCCAAATAAGCCTATTGGCAGAGCCAACATTTTCCATAGAAAGTCTTGGCCTGTCTACTGTCTTACTGTTGGTGAAGTTCAACTATTCAAAAACAGTAAAGTTTTTGTACTTGAAAGGTCACACCACAAAACCAGACTTCAACTTCACCAACAGGTGGCACTGCAGTTGATTTTGCAACTGTAGTTCCTCGTCCTGGTAAAATATGGAGCTGTGGTTCTCAACTGGTGTGTTGGTTGCGACCCGAAAGTGGTTTAGTGGTTCACCGCGTGCCTTCCACTGCACTAGGTGAAAGGCTCTTCTGCCTCCCCCTAGAGGAGCCACAGTCAAATTAGTTTTTTTTTCTATTGAAAGTCTAAAATCGGGTATCAAAGGTTTTAAAACAATAAAACAGATTCCTCCATCAACACTTATGACTGTTGATCAAGGAAACCCCTTGCTATTTCAATCTCCAGTTGATTGGCTGCTAGCTCAGTTCGGCTGAGAATTTTCTGACCTGCTCCTTTGATCAGCTGATCAAGTGATGCTGGGCAGAAGGATGCCGGTGTTCTATTGAAAGCTCCAACTCATTCAGATCTCCAACTACCTCACTTCCGGTGCTCACAAAGACTGGAGCGCATTGCGGTGCGAATGCGCGCATAGCGTTTTCAGAATACTCGTCGAGTTTGCCACCTGCTAAATATTGTTAAAATGCAGCTGTACAGAGCTCCGTCAGTCTTTGTGTTTTACAGTCTAACAACGTCTGGTCGGAATCTCCAACTTGCACATACCTGGCAGTGATGTAGTTGGAGATTTCGACCAGTTGGAGCTTTGGATGGAACACCGGCAACACAGTTCCTGATGAACCTGGGCAGTTGTCTGACATGCAATTCTTTTTTTCCATAAAGTCTCTTTGCATACATTCACCACTTCAGGTGGTCTTATGTCTGGTATTCCTCTAGCATGCATCAGCATTGCAGAATATCCTTGTATCATTGTGTTTAACTTGTCCATTGTTGATCTAATGCATTTCCTGTGGTTCACAGTCAATTACCTATGTAATAGCATAGCCTGGGGGTACGTTTGCTAGCTGCTCACTTTCAACAAGTTTTATTGCCCTCTTTGTACTGCTCAGGTAATGTAAGCAGAAGCTAAATCTACACTGTTGACACTCGGTAAATAGAGTCCTGGCAGGCAGGCAGCAATTGGGTTTCTCTCAAGACAACTTGAAAGTTGTTTGTTTTTCATGATAACCGACCCTGGAATACCGTCCTCATACAGTTACAGCAAATAATTGCATCTGGATGAGTTCCATGGCCTTCACTGGCTAGGATGATTGACTGTCGGCTACTATGTATTTAGCCCTGATTGCAATGTACGGCTATTCTGACATACCTCCAGGGTCTGATAATGTGGCCGTGCTGTGTCATGTCTCAAGTCGGTGGCTCTGGGTCTTGTTTGATTGCCTGCGGCTTGACAAATGGATTTATTTAGAACCAGTTGTTGTCATTGTTGGGTTTGTCAGACAGGAAACTCTAGCCATACACGCTTCAAATTTCTCTCGGCTAAATACCGTGAATGGAGGAATCCCTGATGTTGGCTATTGTATTCAGCAGCCATTTCTCGAGTGGTTGCTCAATACCCAAACATCCATGGACTCAGGCGCTGTTCTGCTGAGAAATGCTCAGAATTTTCAGACTGTCTTCATTTACAAAAACTCAACAGGAATATTTTGGCTGATTACTGCTGAATTGGCCAATATTCAAGCCGTGAAAGTTTGGCTGATTACTGCTGAATTGAATTGGCCAATATTCAAGCCGTGGATGACCCTGACAACATTAACCGGCTCAACAAGCTTCAGTTGGCTGTACCGTGACAGGATCCAGAGGCAGTACATTTTTTCAGGTATGCGAACAGCCGCAGGTGCTGGCTGTCTGAATACAGTAGCTGGCTGGGGAGCTTCTATCATCCACGCTGTGCTATGGCTAGCTTAAAAGAGAAGTATGGGGTAAGTGTTTTTTCCCATAGTTCTCTTAAGGGTCACAGGAGGACATATACTAGCGTCCTCCCGTGACCCAAAACTCAGTATATAGTGAGCAACAGCTCGCTGTATACTGAGACCGCCGCAGCCAGGACGGATCCCGACAATACTGTTCGGGATTCACCCAGCTGCGTGAATGACAGCTGGCTCTGCCTATCTAGAGGCAGAGCCAGCTGTACCCACCCTCCCCCGTCCGTTCCTCCAGTCAGAGCTGGAGGATCGGAGGGGGGGGGGGAATCCCTGCGGGGAGCTGTGACTGGTAGTCACGGCTCTCTGCAGGGAGATAACGGTATGTGTTCGCTCACTTCCCGATCTATTGAGCCGACGTGTGACAGTTTCATTGTCACACGTCGGCTCGAACTATGAGGATGAGTGATTTTCACTCACCTTATAGTTCTCCTTTAAGGCTCTTGCATTGCAAATTGGTTTTGGGGGGTCAACTTTATTCTTTTCTCAATGGCCCCCAATGCACTCCAATACAGTAGACAATGCTCCTCACCCTTCAATTCACCACCACACATACAAGCAAACACACGCACTTTGTTACAAAGTGTTTGCCTTCGGCTGCTGTCAGAATACCCAAATGGAGCTTGCAGCTGATTGGCTGCAAGCTCGGTTTGGCTAAAAAAAATTCCAACTTGCTCTTTCGATCAGCGGAACTGGTTAAAATTTGTACTTTGTATACCCGACTTTATTGCCTATTATGCCTACAGGACAGGAAGGGAAATTTCCCCAATAGAACAAAACGGGGGTTTTAACCAATCCCTCCTCTATACAAAAGTAAACATTTTGTCCTTAGAGTGACTAAGAGTCTAATATATAAAACTGTCAGATGATGTTAATGGCTGAGCAGCCAATCAGTTTCCGACCCTGATTCTTTGGCTACCATTTTCAATACAGAGTTAAAAATGAGTACAGTCTTAAAAGCAGTTATCCATTCAAGCAGAATCATAGATGAGGCCCAAAGGAAAGTGAGGCTTAATGGTGTACAAACATACTGTGGGGGATAAATGCAAAGGCCACTCTAAAAAAACTAAAAAAAACAACAAAATGTTAAAATATCAATGTTTAAAAATAGAAATATAAAAGGCAGAATAGTTATTTGTGCTGGTAACTTAAAGCTAATAAGAGGTTAAAAAGGAACAAATTCTATTTTATTCTTCTAAGTTTGCTTTAAATAACACCAAATGCACATTGAAGCTCACCCCTCGGATCTGCAGACGAATTAAATGGACTAGATACTATCTGGGCTATTCACTAAAGGGTGAAGAGTTTGGAGAAGGCAAGAGAAGGGAACAATCTAGGCCAAAGTAGCTGATTTGGAAAAATTCTCTGATTCAGTTCACTTTCCACTTCAGCTATATTGTTCTAGATTGTTCCCTTCTCCGGCCTTCTCCAAACTCTTCACCCTTTTGTGAATAACCCTGATACTATTTACACAGCCAGGGCCGGGTTTACTCTCTCTAATGCCCCAAGGCCAGGGCCCCCATCACCGCCAAACCCCAATGGAGAATGGCAGACCTGCAAGCAATCTCAGTGACATCCCCAAGATCACTTGTACAAAACTAAAGGTGGCTTCACAGCTGTACATTTAGCTCCGCTTGCCCAAAGCAGGGCTAAATGTAGAAAACTACTACCCGCCCGGCGCCCGGGAATTGCATGTTGGGAAATAGGAATTCCACACATCTGCTGCCCTTCTATTCGCTGCTGTCCCGAGGCCGGGCCTAGGTTGGCCTTGTGGCATATCCAGCCCTCTACACAGCATGTCCCGGGTGTCCTTTTGACAGCTGGGAATTGCAGCAAAAGTGGCGGGGAGGGCGGCAGCATCGAGGAGAGGCAAGGTGTGCTATGCATGCCCTGTGTTCTTTGGTGGAGTTTTTTGTTTCCATTTGTAGCACACCTAAGGTACCAGACTGGTTAAAGATCCTCAAAGATCACAACAACTCTAAAGTTGGTTTAAACAGCTTAGAGACTTCTGGTGTTTGTTTACATTAGAGGAGCAAGCTGCCAAGATTCTGCTGATGTCATAGTGATAGGAAACACTTTAGTACATTGTTTGGTCACAGCAGTGGCGTAACAATCGCCATAGCGACCCAGGCGGCACAGGGGGACCCGGCCAGGGCATCCCGCTGATGCCGTGTGGGCCGCCTGGGTCGCTATGGCATATCAGGGTGCTGGCCGTCACTGGGGCCTCACATCACGGCTCACAGTGCTCTCCTCACTACCCAGCTCGGTCGCCTGAACGTTTCTCTCCTCCCCGCTGGACGCTGCGCTGTGTCAGAGGGGACATAGAGCAGTGCACAGCGGGGAGGAGAAATTCATAATCGGCTTTATCATGCCACAGTGGAATTGATCTGACAATCTAATATGTACCAATTTCTTTTATAAGAATGCTCTTATTGTGTCCCCCATATTCATAATTGGCTGATGAAACATTGAACTTGTTTAGCATTGTCTAGCATGTTTGTACCTCCCTTC